GGGAAAGGGCCCAATAGTTTGGCACACTGGCTAGTCATCCCCTTGCAAGTGCCAGGATACCATATGGGTGTCAGTTCATGTCCAGGCTTCATTTCCCATCGATTTCCCTGTTTATACCCTGGGAAAGCAGTGGAGGATGGCTCAAGTCCTTAGGACCCAACATCCATGTGGAGACCAGGAAGAAGCTCCTGGCTCCTGGCTTTGAGTCAGCTCAGCTCTACTATTGTGGTCATTTGGGGGAGTGAACCAGCAGATGGAAGATCTTTTTCTCTTTCTCTTCTTCTCTCTGTAAATCTGCCTTTAGAAAAAAAAATCTTGAGAGAGAGAGAGAGAAAATAGATAACTGGAGGGGAAACATGGAAGGTGGAACAGCAGAAGTTGGGGAAAGAAAAGGACTAGAAGAGAACATGCAGCTAGCTTGCAGGGAAAGGACAGAGAACCTCGGGCTGGTAGATAGGCTAGGGCTTCCCCATAATCCAGGCAACAGGACCAGTGAGTTGCTTCTGAGACAGACCGATGAGAACTACAGAAGAAAAGAGTTCCCAAGAGGACTCATTACGAAAGGATCTGCCAAGATGTGTGAGAAACAGGAGTACAGGCTGTGGACAGAAACTAGGATAAGATCCAAGCAGGGAGAACCAGGAATAATTGCACCAGAATAGAATGGTTTTCAAAGATTTATTTAGATGTAAGTTAGATTTGTAAATAGGCGTGGTATTTCCTATTCTGGTAACCAGTGGGTATAAAATGTGATCATTAAGCATAAAATATCACGCATTTATAATCCTTATGGCTAAGGGCTGGTTATTAAGCTAAGAGAAGTTCTTCTAAAGATGGCATCTTCAAAGCTATGTGTTTCTTAGGACCAGCTCTTTGGTTTCTTTTTGTTTTTTTAAAGATTTATTTTATTTTTATTGGAAAGGCGGATATACAGAGAGGAGAGACAGAGAGGAAGATCTTCCGTCCGATGATTCACTCCCCAAGTGAGCACAACGGCCGATACTATGCCGATCCGAAGCCAGGAGCCTCTTCCGGGTCTCCCACACAGGTGCAGGGTCCCAAAGCTTTGGGCCGTCCTCGACTGCTTTCCCAGGCCACAGGCAGGGAGCTGGATTGGAAGCAGGGCCTCTGGGATTAGAACCGGCGCCCACATGGGATCCCGGCACGTGCAAGGGAAGGATCTTAACCACTGCGCCACCGCGCCGGGCCCAGCCCTTTGGTTTCTATTAGAATATGTTTAAACCTTATCATTTGGTAGTAGGGAGAATCCCCAAACCATAGACTTAAGGAGTCTTAAGTTGCAAAAATTCTAAAGTGTATCTACTTTAACCCATAGGGGCAGGATCCCTGGCCTAGATCTGTCCAGTGTCCCCTGCTTGACTATGCTTTTGTTGTATTGAATGAACACTGAAACCCCTCAGTGTCTGTCTCAAGATGGTATAGTGGCATTTAGTAGATTGCAAAGACCACATTCTAGAATTTATACATTGGCTCCTATTATTCTTATAAATCTAAGAGAACTGGCTGCTCTTTATTAATTCATTGTCTCACTCTTTTACCAGAAGCCTATTGAAGGCATGCTGTGTGCAGGACACAAAGGATGAATAAACTGCACATTATATATAGAGAAAGCACATTAAGTGGTTTGCTTTGTCTGCTTGCTAGATCCAAATCAATATACCTGGTTTGATCCACGCATGGCTGGTGCTTGGTGAGACAGGCTGAAGTTTCCAATCAATGTTTTTGAACTTATTCTCATGGTGGAATGACTGGTTTGAACAAAACCAGAAGCTAGATTTTTAAAACTCAATCAATCAATTAAATTCTTAAAGAAGATTTATTTATTTTTATTGGAAAGTCAGATATACAGAGAAGAGGAGAGAGAGAAAGGAAGATTTTCCATCCACTGATTCACTCCCCAAGTGGCCACAATGGCTGGAGCTGAGTTGATCCAAAGTCAGGAACCCGGAGTCTTTTCCAGGTCTTCTGCATGGATCCCAAGGCTTTGGGCTGTCTTCTCCTGCTTTCCCAGGCTACAAGCAGGGAGCTAGACAGGAAGCTGGGCCACTGGGATACAAACCGGTGCCCATATGGGATCTGGCAAGGATTTCAGCCACTAGGCTACCATGCTGAACCAAAAAATTAATTTATTTTTATTCGAAAGGCAGAATCATATAGAAGCAAAGAGACAGAAAGAGTGAAGGAGAAAGAGAGAGAAGAGAATGTTTACATCCATTGCTTCACTCCCCAAATGGCTGCTAGATGGAGCTGAGCTGAAGCCAGGAACTAGAGCTTCTTTTAGAGGCCTCCAACGTGGGTTCAGGGTCCCAAGGACTTGGGCCATCCTCTACTACTTTTTCAGGCCATAAGCAGGGAGCTGAATGGAAAGTGAAACAGCTGGGACATGAATGATACCCAAATTGGATGCTGGAACTTACAGGTATATGGTTAGCCTATTGAACCACAATGCCAGCCCCATAATCTTTAAAAATGGTTTCACAGAAGTTTGAATTGGTGAAAAGGCACACAAATAGTTATAATGTTATGCACTGCTGCGATAGGAAGTTAGGCTTGTAAAATGAAATGAGTCTTAGACATGGAGATTCCTGGAAGGAAGGAGTCTTGCATCTGGCACTTACTATGCGGCTTTGGGCAAACCACTCAGCTTCCTGGCATTCTCTGCTTCTGTTTTGATAACAGTGAAATAGAAACTTCTCTGCATTCCTTACTGAGGTAAAGAATTGGTTGGATAGAGATGCTAATAAATGTGGATGTGAATGAGTTTGACATTAGACAGTTTGAACCATTGGCCCAATCCAGCTCAAGGACCAGCTCAAGGACCAATATGGCTTGACTAACTGTGTTTAAGACATTGGCTCGAATGCCATTAGGTGTGACATTGTTTCACAGACTATCTGCAGTTGGCATGATCATCCAATTTATTTTGCCTGCCTGGTTCCTAGACACTCTGCTTTGGGAACCATTATGACTCAACTGCCTATGTATATGTAGGAGCAGCTTCTCAGGCAGGTGAAGTCTTTTTTGGGGCACCTGGATGGCACTACCTCCTGCTCTTTTCACAAGTGGTTTGTTGATGTCTATCACTCTTTTGTGTGATTCTCTAGAGAAACAAGGATAACATTTTGAGCCTTAGCTATGCTGTAACTGAGATTGATAAGTTCAGTACATTAAAATAAATTTTCTCAGAGCACTTTTTGGTAATAGAACCTCAGTGGCCATGAATGTTTAATGTGTTAGTGAGAGAGAGAAATTCCAGCAAGTAGCAGGGGGATAAAAATGTAGGGATGAAAGGCATCTTTACCTATAAAATGGGAATAATACCTAAATCATAGTGTTGTTGGAAGAGTTCAATGAAATCAGTGTGTAAAAGGGCTTAATACAATAAGAAAGTGATTACAGTTGTTTTCCTGTTCTGAAAGAATGAACTTGCTTTTCCCAACTATTTAGTTGGGAAACAAAATAACTATTCATTTGAATAGTAAGAGGCAGACTGTGATGTATTCTAATTGTTCAGTCTAAACTCAGCTTAAAGAAGACACCATGCCCAGGGGGTCTGACTGGGTCTTCTCTGCATCAAACATTTGGATGTTTGGAAATAACTATGTATAGGACTGAATATTTCGTTTATATCTTAAATCTTTGCCTGATGAGAATATTGCATAGCAGCCATCTATAGAACAGGCTTCACAGCACTTAACAATTTGGCTAAATTGGAGTATTTGTTAACCATCCTGATGTCTCATTTGCCCATGTTCTTATAGCAAGTTATCTTAATGTAGTACATCTGAAATGAACTGAAACTGTACGAAATTAGAAATATAGGCATGGTTACTATGACGTTATAGTAAAGGAACCTTTGCACTATTTTTTCATTTTGGATAAAGATTCTCCAAACATGTGTGAAAAGTAAAGAATGCAAGTTTGGCCATTAGTATTCTGTGGACAAAGCAACTAAGATATTCACTGGGCAACAAAATGGAAATAGTCAGGCGTTTAAGGAAAGTCACCTGACATTACATTGCTGAGCTGGGAAGCTGGAAGTAGATGCCCCAGCCTGACATCGGTTTGTTGTGTTACAACAAAGTGGCATATGAGGGATGGATTAGGATCCATGTTCCTCCTTTACTACTTCAGGGGCAAGTTCCTGTAAATCTTTGTACCTATGTCTTTCAAGCAATACAGTTTGAGATGTTGGGTGGGACAAAAAAAAAAAGTGACAGAAAAAAAAAAGTGACAATAGTCACAAAGTATAAAATGAGAACATGGAAACATTCAGCATGTCTTCTGGTTTTTTTTTTATTCTTTAAAATATTTATTTTTATTGGAAAGGCAGATTTACAGATAGTAGGAGAGTCAGAGAGAAAGATTTTTCATCCACTGGTTCACTCCCAAAAGGCCACAATGGCCAGAACTGAGCTGATTTGAAGCCACAAGCTTCTTACTGATCTTCCACATGGATACAGGGTCCCTAGGACTTGAGCCATTCTCCACTGCTTTCCCAGGCCACAAGTAGGGAATAGGACAGGAATTGGAGCAGCCAGGAAACAGACTGGTGCCCATATGGGATGGAACACTTGGAGGTGGAAGATTGGCTAGTTGAGCCATTGTGCTGTCCCCTTCTTCTGGCATGTCTCCTCTCCCTTAATACCATGAAAAGACATATGCAGGTATCATAAATCAGAATAATTACTAAGTGACATCATTGTCAAACCCAGGGTTTAGTGAATGGTTGCCGTGTACCAGACCCACTGCTGAGGAACTCCGTGTTAATCGTCTCCTATAATCCTCACAGCCACTTCCCAAAGTGTGCAATACTCAGATTGGATTAGTGCAAAAGCAGCATTACAGAGAGTTGAAGCTGTTGATCCCAAGTGTATTTTAGAAAGGCTGAATTTATAAATGCATTTAATTTCTCAATTATGGGATGATATTCAGTAATAGATACAATAATTATTAGTCATAAGATATGAGGAAAACTGTTTGGAAAATCAATCCATTTATTTGATTCCATCTACAGAGCTAATTCCAAGGTGTACTACATATTGTAATTCAGTGAACCAAATGAAGTGCGCACATTTTACCAATGGCTACATACAGTGATTGATTCAATGTACTAGCTGTTACAATATCTAAGGTAACTATTACATTTGAGGTAGGAAAGAGAAATGATTTGAAGAAGTTCTACCCTATATTTTTTTAATTGTTCCATAAAAAAAACAAAAACAAAAACATAGTTTTGGGGTCATAGAAAGAAAGGGAGAGAGAAAGTGTTGAGGACAGTGCGATAAGAGCACTCTTTAGAATTTTGAACCGCTTGTGTTAGAGATTTAGGTATGGATTTATAAGATTTCCCCCTCCTCCCAAGTAGTGAACTCTATTTTAAGAGATGCATCATGGTTTCAAACTTTTTATTTATATTTCAAATGCGATATGTGATTTTTTTTTCCCCTCTGTGGAAGATGCAGGATCCTAATTGTATTTTGCTCAGGCTACTATGATGCTAAATCAGCTTGTATTAACTCAGACTCTGTCTGTGGTATCAGAAGTAAGTGGCTGAGGCATGAATTAGAGAAAATAGGAAAGGACATCCTTTTCCAGAAAGAGATAACACATGGATATATAGGAATTAACTGGGCATAATTCATGAGGAAAAAATCAAATGCTGAATTTGTAAATATTTCTCCAATGAACGTGAATCTTGCTGTACCATCCTCACCCAAAACCAAATTGAAACTCCTCTGTCTAAATTAGCAGGTGTGTTTATCCCTGGGTACTCCAGTATTAGCCTGACTTGTCAAATTAACTTGAGTATTTGTTCACCAGATATTAAATGCCCTTGGGACAGGGCAAAGAAGATCCAGTAGGAAAACAGACATAGATGTTATTGATGACTTATCCTTTCCAAAGCACGTTGTATGAAGTTGGGTCTTCAGAGCTGCAGTTTTCTTCACCAGCCACTTCTCACAAGCTCTTGGCCTTTGTCTTTTTTCTTGCAGCCTGGTTCTCTTTGGTTGGGACAAGAGCAGACCACTGATGGAGCTCCCATCTTGCTGATCACCCATAAAAAGTAAGCCTAAGTTAAAACTCATGGGCCACCAAATGTTCACTTGGCAAAGGATGGATGGTTTCAATGTGAACTATTGACATAGAATGCTCCAGGGTAGGTACTGACCAGGCTTCTTTACTGTTTCAGGCAGTTGTCTGAATTTCTTGGCATAAAAATCATTTCCAAAAAGTCACTAGTCTCGTCTGGATGCAAGGACAGGTCATTTTTTTTCTGCATGTTTTCAACACTCCTTCCTTTCAATGCCCTCACTTGGAACCGCCTCAAAAGTGTAACCAGGATGGTTTTCATCATCACCATGGCTATGTACTTTCCCGCACAACCACGGGGTCCGAAACCAAATGGTTGAAAATACCTGTATGGAACCTATGAAAACGAACAGGTGGTTAGGCAGAGTGCTAAGGGCTGATGGACCACTCTAACTCTCCACTTAGTTTGTTTGCTCGTGTTACAGCCCCAACGTTAGATGAGCCTCAGTTGTATTTTTCCTGTGGCTGTGTTGGGTTAATAAGTCAATGCAAATGATCTTACTATAGGAAATGTTAGCCTAAGGGAACTTCGCAAAATTTGCAGAACATGTGTATTTTGAATAAACTATGCCTGAATGTCAAACTATGCATGCTACACGGGATCTTTTGACATTTCCTTAAATATTCAACTAGTTTTATGGGTGAATCACAGTGTTACTGCTTTCTCAAGTAACCAATATAAAGTTTGTTTCTGTGTAATGCTATATATCTGATGAAAAGGGACAAATGTAGGCCAAAATATGGATCCCTGACTTGCGAGCACTACATCCCTAGCTTTTTAGTTGTTTGGAAAATCAATGAGGACCACACATATCTGTCTTGTCTGCATTTAGACTTAGGCATCTACTATGAATGCCTATGTGAACATCTACTGTATGTGCCTAGTACACCTATGTTGACAAATTGAGTGATTTCTGTAGCATTATCTGGATTACCGGACAAGAAGCAAGATAATTTAGTATTGCATTAATACTGGGATTCTACAACATGTGAAATGGGAAGGGGCACTGAGGGAACTGTCTGGATAATTCAGGTTTAAAACCATTGCTGCCTAAAATTTGACACAATTAAGGCAGAATCTTCAGAACACACCAATTCTGTTTATTGAGTTCTTTTTAGAATAGAACCTATTCTCATGTGTCCATATGATAATCAAAGGAAGCCTGCAAAAATGGAAATTTTTGATCTTGCTTGTTTTCCACCTAAAGCAGAAGCAGATGTTCCCTTTCTTAGATGGAGGTACAGCTGAATCTAAATGGTAACAGAGTTATCAGTTTAAATACAAAAGTGGGTTGGTTGAGTTAAACAAAATTTGCCTCAATTTGGCCAAAATTGAGCCCGTGCTTTTCACTGTTCACCATGAAAATATTTGCTAGAGATAGAGATCTAGCATCATTGGCTTGAGGATAAATATGATATCATGTTCCAAGCTATGAGGCCAGGTGGAGGGGAATGAATAGAAATAATCAAGTGTACATGGGAGAGCAAGATTTAATAGATGATGTGAGAAGTGACTTGAATATCCACCACAAAGATTGAAAAGACCCCACCATTTTGGACCCAGCACTGTTTTAAATACCTGCTTCTACTAGGTCTCATCCTCTTTCCTGCGGTTCATGTCTGCCCTTTAGGTTCAAATATGGTTGTCTGCCGATTTGCTGTAGCCTTGTAACCTTGTTCCCATCAATCCACTCTAACCTCATGGCACTGTACCTGATGACCTATCCACTAATCCCTTGCTGACCCTACCCATAGTCCTCGCCCATGGTCCCACCTATCCATTCCCTGTGGGCCGACAGTCTTATCTACCAACCCCTCCTGGCCCATCAAAGGCCCTACCTGCCAATCCCTCCTGGTCCCACACTACCAATACCTGTCCTGTGGCCATAAAATTGTAGGTTCCTGTGTGCACACACTCTCTCTGTCTCTGCTTCTGCTCCCATTCCAGAGGCCATCTTCCCTGCTGGATTAAAACCTCCTGCATGACTCCCTGCATCTGGTGTTTCGGGTTTGTGCTGACAAACCAAAACGAGCTAACACCAAAAAGAGCCAACAGATGACATTGTCAAGAGTGGCATATTCAGTTTTAAGAAAGGGCTCTTACGTTTTTTGCGAAGTTCTCAAGAGTAAATTCATTGGGCTTGGGGAAAAACTCAAGTCTATGCATTCTTCCAATATTCAGAATAATGTTAGTTCCCTTTTTCACTGGATAACCATCAATTACATCATCTTCTAAGGCTTTGCGCATGACTAAGTCCACAACAGGCTGGTACCGCATGCTCTCATAGATGAAGTTTTCCACCACTTTTAATTTTTGCATATCATCAATCCTTATATCTCTTTCACCTGTAAGGACAGATTAAAAAGGACAAAGAAGATAGTTTCAATATTTGACTGGCATTAAGACTCCTGTTTTCCCACAGAATAATTCGCCTTGGTTGAAAAACAAAATCTACTTCTGTAATTTTAATATATACTAGCAACTGGGGCCAAATATGTTTGGTCCACGTAATCTGTTTTTTTTTAAAAGATTTATTTATTTTTTGGAAAGTCAGATATACAGAGAGGAGGAGAGATAGAGAGGAAGATCTTCCCTCCGATGACACACTCCCCAAGTGAGCGCAACGGCCAATGCTATGCTGGTCCGAAGCCAGGATCCAGGAACTTCTTCCGAGTCTCCCACATGGATGCAGGGTCCCAAAGCTTTGGGCCGTCCTCGACTGCTTTCCCAGGCCACAAGCAGGGAGCTGGATGGGAAGTGGAGCTGCCAGGATTAGAACTGGCGCCCACATGGGATCCTGGTGCGTTTAAGGCGAGGACTTTAGCCGCTAGGCCACGCCGCCGGGCCCGGTCCAAATAATCTTTTTAAAAATTCAGATATTTAATCTGAGACAGCGAATACACACAATACAGAAAATATGATCTGTGAGTGAGATTGGCATAATGGGAAATAACTTCTGTTCAGAGTCTGTGTCTGTTTTGAATAACAGGAAGATACCCATTTTATTCTTATTTTCCTTTACTTGCTAAGTCATGATATTTTTACATATTGGCATGTTAAGCCTGTCACTGGGATGCAAATGAATATGCCACTGTAATAACTGGCAGGGAAAATAAGGGGAGACGGGCAAAGAAAAAGGGGAAGTTTTTAAAGGGGGAAGGTAGGTGCCCCTGTGCTTCCAAATCTGTATCAGCAAAACATGAAATCTACTCATTTTAAATAAATACATGAATAAGTTCAAATATGTGGCCAATTATCCTAGAAACTTTGGAGATTTCATAGAGAGTCCTGCATAGAAAAAAAGTTGGTAAGGCTGGACCCACATTCCCCCATGGCAACATTGGTTTGAAGTTGAGTGGCAGATCACACTCCATGGTTCCATAATTGGCCATACTTAGTCTATTTCACACATTTTCATCTGACTGGCCTCTGAAATCTTTGGGATGTTGGCTCCTCTACTCTAATTTGTAGGGGAGATACATTCCCTCTCTTAACTTGTTAACAAACTAACATATCAATCATCATAAAGTTGAGTGCTCAGGTTGCTGCATGATCAAAGTGAAGACTGTAGATTGGATATATTTCTGTGAATTTTTCTGCTGTGTTTGCCTGTGCAATCATTTGCCTACACTGTTACTGATAGTTGCTTAGCATCTCATCAAGAGCAACCTGCTGCCTAGGGTGGTAAGAACACCTTTTCCCCAGGACAGAATAGGTGCCCCAGGTCAATTCCAGGATCTGGGATTTGGTAGATACTTCCCGTGTCTCAAATTGGCCTGATTGCAGAGGCTCAGACATTTTCAAACAGGTTGCCACATTTGCAGAATCAAAGACAACTTAGAATGGGGATGGGTGGGAGAGAGGTGGAGTTCTGGGATCCTGGCTTGGGTATGACCCAGCTCTGGCCGTTGTGGCCATTTTGGGGGAATGAACCAGTGGCCAGAAGATCTCTCTTTCTCTGTCTCCCAGTACTCCATTGAACTGTTCATGTCTCTTTCTTCTTTCAGCTCAATGAGCCCCGTGAGTGCAGTGCAAGAATGGTTCTGACTTGTTCACTGTGTACCCCTACACCTGACACTGAGCCTGATAACCTAATGATGGGAGGCATTTGAGAAAACCTTTTGGAATTTGGAGCTGAGACATTATTCTGCTCCTTGTTATCTACATGGCCATAATGTTTCCCAGATATGTGATGAATCTATAGACAGCTTCTCTCCCATGCTTAATCGTTAGCGTCAACCATTTCAAGCAGTGTTCAAATGAGTTTTAAAAGATGGTATCCTTCCATAACTGAGTAACTTGTTTCACAGGATTCCTGTAAAGTCAAGAGAAAAAAGTTTACCTCATGTGCCATCTCTTCACTTCTATAAGAAACATGTTCCTAAAAAGATTACCCATGTAGGAAATTCTCAATAAGGAATTCTATTTTCTCCCAGAAGACACCTACTCTGGATTTCTTACAGGTGTGGCTATGGTTCTGTGGAAGATTTGGTAAATAATGTGTTGAAGCAGAGGCAGAGTAGGGCAGGATAGGGCAGAGGTAGATGGGGAAGGGCTGAGTGGGACCCAGAAGCTTCTGTGCATGGGAGAAGGGGAGGGTGGGGAAAGACGAGACTGGCACCCCTAGGTCAGAGCAGGGAGGAGAGCTTATCACTCTCCCACCTTTATTGCAGTTGTCTTCTCCCCCCTCATTCACCAAATGGAACTTTATTTGTGGTTGGGTTTCTTAAAACCCAAACTGCTGTAAATGAGTTTCCTGGTGCAAACTCAGACACCTTTTATAACTGATCAAGTAGGCAGGATATTGTAAAAGACCCCATGTTTTTATAAAAATAGACATTAAAACATAGAAGGAGGCCTCAAAATGATTATGAAAAAATGGAATTAAAAGATGATGCACATTTTGATGAACTTTTATGTGCTTTCCTGTGTGTGTGAGTATACACAGAAAAAGACTTTGAAGAATACTCTGTAAACTACTAGCCTGAGGAGTGGGAAATGCAATGGATTGGGGATGTCATCTTGTGCTTGATACAGCTCTTTGTTACTGCATTTTTTACAGCCTTCATATGTATATGATTTTAACATGCAGAAAAAATCATCTTTTCAACCAGCCTATCTGACATAATCATTGTGTGTCAGAATGACTTGCTTCATTGTTCTCTGGGTGGGTTGTAAAAGATCTTGTGTTTGACATCAGATTCTTAAAACACAGAAGCTGAAATTCAGAATGAATTGTGTTTTAAGCCATAGTGTTTATTTGAAAGGTCCTTACCAACAACAGTCTGGATTTCCTCCATTATTGCATTTTCAACGTTAGGGTGCTTTGCAATGAGAAACAGCATGAAGAACACAGTGACAGACATGGTGTCAGGTGCTGCAATGAGCATTTCCAATACACATTGGTTCACATTCTCTCTTGTCAGGTCACCACGTTTCTGGACAGTGGAAAAGGGGTTGGTCAAATTGGCAAAATGAATCAAGGTTTTTAAAAGTGAGAGGAATTGACATTCAAGAATCGGCAACCTCAACTAAATGAAATAATGGAATGCTTCTGTAATTGACTATGATCATTTCACATGATAATATTAAGCTGAAAGATAAAATATTTAATTATCATGGTACAGTCAAATTCCCATGTTGTCAGGTTCTGCACCTGTGAATTCAAATAACTACAGATGAAAACTATCTGGGAAAAACTGTGCTGAACATGTACCAATTTTTCTCCTTGCCATTATTTCTACCCAATACAATGCCCATTTCCATAGCATTTATATTATATTAAATATTATAATCTAGAGATGTTTTAGAGTATATGAAAATGTGTGAATGAGTTATATCCAAGTGCTATTTCATTTTTGTAGCAGTGGCTTTAAGACCCTGTCATCCTGGGTCAGTACATCCTTAAATATCTTGAGTACCTGCTTGCCCAGCACTACCACAAATTCCCTAGGTCTCAGTCCCCTTAAGGCCCACTCGCCTAGGGAAGCTTCCTGACCTTCGGGTTTAAACCATGTCCTCCACCAGTCCCTGTACTTTATGACCCCATACCTGATGGCCCTGCTCCACCAATCTCCTGAGGCATTTACAACCCCAGTGTCCACCTACAGCTGCATCTGCCAATCCCTGGCCTGCACTCCCACACCCCACCTTGAGGCTATAAAGATGTTTCTGTCCTTTGCTCTCTGCCTGTCCTTTTTTTTTTTTTTTTAAAGATTTATTTATTTTTATTGGAAGGTCAGATTTACAGAGAGGAGAGACTGAGAGAAAGATCTTCCATCTGCTGATTCACTCCCAAAGTAGGTGCAGTGGCTGGAGCTAAGCCAGTCTGGAGCCAGGAGCTTCTGAGCCTCCAAATGGATGCAGGGTCCCAAGGGTTTGGGTTGTCTTTGACTGCTTTCCCAGACCACAAGCAGGGAACTGAATGGGAAGTGGTGCAGCCAGGATATGAACTGGCACTAATATGGGATCCTGGTGCAGCCAAGGCAAGGACTTTGGCCACTAGGCTACCACGCCAGGCCCCCTCTGTCTGTTCTTTGTATCTTTCTGCTCTCTGCTCTCCCACCCCCTTTCTTCTCTCACTCTCTTCTCTCCTTACCCCAACCCTGTACTCTCTCACTGCTCCCACTTTCTCTGAAGCTGTTGCCCTCGCCGAAATAAAGGACCTCTCTCGTGATTCACTTGCTGTTCTGTTGTCTTGGGTTTGTAGCAAAAAAGCTAATAATTTTAGGTAAGGAATTTTAGCATGTATGTATTTTGTTATCTGTGAGAGGGAGGAGAGTGGAATTTCTGGAACCAGACTATTGTAGATACAAAGATCTAAAGTACTTAGTGTCTCTTGTTTCCCTTCTTTATTTTTCCATATTTCACATTTTATATTGTGACAAAATATAGTTTCAGTTTTCATGGCCAGTCTTACTGGAATTTCTAATGTATGGGCAATTTGGGTTGAACATTACAGAATGACTAGAGCAAACACTTAAGTGGAGAAGTTTGCAACAATTATAAAAGGAAATCTTTACACATTTATATAGTCATAACATGTATTGTGAGGAGGTATGGTTAATCCAGGTCAAGTACCTCAGCAAAAATCAAATCAGTGGCAAAATCCATATGATCCTCCAGTTTCTCTGCTGTGGAGATCCTGCGTCTTTTTTCCTCCACCAGAACATCTATGACATCCTTCAAATCCTTGCTGCGAAAGAAAATCAAAGCATGATCTATTTATACTCAGCCTAGATGTGAGCAAAAATGACTCACTTGCCATTTTTCAACATACAGTCTCCTTTGATTGAAGCCACTTCTGCTCATAAATAATTAATATTTTATTTTTATAAATATAATCAAATTCCACATTATTGCTATTGTTATTATTATTGCTGTTGTTACCTATAGTTAGCTAATATTTCTAGATACTGGTAACAAAATAAAACATGACCTGTAGATACTGGCTAAAAGCTGATAATCAAAACTAAAACCACCCATGCATTTTTGTTTCTGATTTGGCAACCTCAAGCGTTAAAAAAAAAAATCTCTAAATGCCACTAGTAAAGGCATTCACTCTTCAGTTTACCACAGGCACTTGCATTTCTTATTGTTTTCCATCCGAGATAGCCCACTTTTATTTGCCTACTCTTGCAGAAAACACTGAGTATGAGATTCCTCTTCTAGACAGTAAACTCAAGTAACTGTTATTCTTGATATTTATTCTTACACCTTATGTAGTTTCTGCCACTTTGTAAACACTAGGTAAATATCTGTTGAATGAGTGACTAGCTTCATAAACATGTATATCCAGGCTGACTCCGTGGTAGGATGGAAAAGCACCCTAGACAGAGAGTAAGTTTTAGTGTGATTATTTTCTGTATAACTACTTTAAATCTCTAGCTTTGTGTGTCTTTTAAAGTGGAGAGATTAGACTAAATGAACAATAAGGTCACCTGAAGATCTGAATTCTGTTGTTCTTGCATCTGTCTCTACATGTTTCTGAGTAAATGTACTGTTTTCTGATCCTAGGGTATAATATTCTGTATTACATTAAATGTACAATAAACTACATTTGTAAATTTGTATCCTGCAGTAAATTTCAGTGGGACTAATGGCCAAGACCAAAACCAAACTAGTGACCAAAAGTATACAATGAGACTCTTCAGATGGTTATCACCACCACCACCACCAAATCTGACCCCAAGGAAGAGATCAGTCCTTTCTATAACTGGTTCAAGTCATGTTAATCTCTGGTGTTATTAAAATGCATAAAGAACGAAGTATCTAGGTCATTCACCTAACATTCCTTTACCACATGACAATGGACAAAGCAATGACAAGTTGGCTTCTCTGGACACTTGTATCATTGAATTTCAGAATCCACCAATAGGCTATAGCTGGATCTTCAAACATATTTGGGGATTTTCCAAGATGGAGAATTTAATATGGCTAGGGACATCTGTAGAAGACAGGAATGCAGGGGAAAGAGGAAACTAATATATTTAGTGCCACCATGTTCCAGGCTGTATATGTTCAGTGCTCTATGTAAATTGTCTCATTACCCTATACCCTCACTCTAGAAGGAAGGTTATGTTTTACTTTAAATAACTTCTGTAGATCATTTAGGGTCTAAGTGGTGGAGTCAATACACAAACCAGGTCTTTCTGCGTCTAGATCCGATGGGCTTTCCACTAATGTTACATGAAACAGGGTTTAGAGTTTGGTTATTTGTACTATAAAACCCATGGAGTAGTCTACAGGGCACTTGTTAGTTTCTACTAGAATAGTCTAAACCAAAACAGGATGATTTAATGACAGTTTCAGGACTCCCAAAACACGTGCTATGTAACAAATCCCCCAAAAACATTTCATTGGAGTTCAGTAAATTCATAATAAAAGTTCTTTGGGGATTACTATTAATTCTTGCAAGCAGAGTTATGTTAAATTAATTCAAAGATAAGGCAACTGATGAATTATTCTGTTTCCAGTTTTCTAGAAATGCAGAAACAGTTTTAACAGTTCTAATGGTAGGACCAGTCAACCCTTTTCTTCAAATCAAAGCATACTGCAATGCCTAATTCCAGAGAGGAAGCTCTTAGACCACACAGTACCTCCACACCCCCCACCTTGATAAGATTCTGCCAAGCCAAAGTCGTCTTTTACTACTTGATCTGGTGAAATACAGCCAGTTCTTATAGGAAACATTCATCAGCAACTTAACAGCTTCCTGTGTGCCCTGGAGAGCAGGAAACTTACCAAAAAGTCCAGCAATGGCAAACACAATGAGGAAAAAAACTGATGGTATTCATAAATCTTCCAATCTTGTGCTACTTACACAGACTTTTCATACTTTTTGTATAACCAGGAAATCTTGAAAAAGATGTTTGGTTTCAGAAGGAGAGCTTGCCAGGCATCGAAATAACCCTGGATTTTAACTACGATGGTATTTTCTGTTGGGGGTGGGGAGAATAAAGGCACGGGGAGGGGCGGAGAAAGAAAAGAAAATAACAGTTGAGCAAAGCATGATCTGAAGAAGGGTGTTCTGAGCCTTGATAATTCTCTGGTGATTCTGCTCCCAGTCTGGGGTTCCAATATTTGATGGGCATTTTAGTCACATTGGTGCCACTAGACAGATTACGTTCTAACTTTTTCTGCTTGGTGTCTAAAGCGACCAGGTTAACCAGTGTTTTGCCAGTTTTCAAGTTTATGCTTGAGACATAGCCTAGAATTTCTCATATCCATCTTTAGTGGGACCACTCTCTCCTATTTTTTTTTTTTTAAAGATTTATTTTTATTATTTTTTCATTGGAAAGGCGGATATACAGAGAGGAGAGACAGAGAGGAAGATCTTCCGTCCGATGATTCACTCCCCAAGTGAGCGCAACGGGCCGATACTATGCCGATCCGAAGCCAGGAGCCTCTTCCGGGTCTCCCACGCGGGTGCAGGTTCCCAAAGCTTTGGGCTGTCCTCGACTGCTTTCCCAGGCCACAGGCAGGGAGCTGGAAGGGAAGCGGGGCTGCCGGGATTAGAACCGGCGCCCATATGGGATCCCGGGCGTGCAAGGTGAGGACCTTTAACCACTTGCGCCACCGCTCCGGGCCCTCCTATTTTTTTTTAAAAGGACTATTATGACTAGTATGCCCTTGACTAAATGTCTTGTATTCCTCACTGTGATACAGAAATGCATATTAAAGTGTGTGTGCAAATCTAATACCATTGAAAGACAATTAACTTCATTCTGATGTTGACATTAAATAGATCTAGTATAATGTGACTTTCTTCAATTAATTTACATTTCATACTATTTGACACATTGTAGACACTAAATTAATCTTAGCTTTCACCATCATTTCCACTAGCAGCAACCCTATTTCTTTTTATCATGTAGCCAGGGTCAAAGTTTTCAATTTGGTAACTTTGAGGGACAGGTATATGTATGTGTATCTTGAAGGATCTTAAAAATGTTCATAAAATAAGTATGCATATCTTGAAGGATCTTCAAAAAGTTCATAAAGTACCTGTGCTATAAAAAAAAGTGCATGAATTTCAACATTTTTTTACAAAATAAACTTATCATTAAATTCCATTTTCCACAAACATTTTAATTGGAAATGGTCAACTATACCAGTCTGGTTTATATAGAATATATTAATGACGAATGAACTGATCACATTTGTCAAGGTGTATGGAGAGTGGTAGAATTTTATTTCTTAGAGTAATAAAGAGAAATAGAAAAGACAGAGAAGCTGGTCCCTACTTATTAGGAACTTGTGTTTTATAAACAAAGAAGGCAAAAACACTAGGTAAAAAATGACCTATGAGTAGTTGGCTATATTTTAGAAAAGGCAACATACAAGACAAAGTAAATGTACTTTGGTCTAGTATCCTCCAATCCCTTTGTTTAATAAAAGGGTAAAGGTCAAATCAAGAGAATGAGAATTTCAGTACCGTCCAAAGGGATCCCCAAGAAGAGTGTGTTAGAGGTGTCCAGCATGATGCGCCGTAAGAGGGTCAGCACGTCTACACAGCCCGACTGAGTGGTAACCTCCTCCAACCTGTCCAGATGCTGTATAATGGAACCAACGCAGATCGCCACCATCTGAACAAGGCCAGGACCTGTCAAAGCTGAAGGGAACACAACAGAGAATCATCTGTCACTGCAGGGCACACGAAATCAGGCCACTTGGCCCCCCTTTCTTTAGAGCTTAATTGTTTGGCAGTTTTATTCACTAATTTTCTATGTGTTCCTCATGTTCCACAGGCATATATTATCTTTATGGTTAAGAATGAATGAATGGATATTGTTTTAAACAAACTACGTAAAATTAAACCTTTCTTCATGGTCTCTAAATAATTTGTGATCATAAGTCATAAATCAGTGATTTTTCATGTATATTGTATACATTTCCTGAAAAAGATTATTTGGATTTTGGCCAGGGTCATATCTAGTTTATGCTTCACCAAGAGGTGTAGGATATTATAACAGAATTAGTCAGATTTGGAGTGTAACTATTTAATCTAAGGTGTTTCCTTTTTAACTGGTTATAGGTATAAAGTGTTGGTCTTTGAAACTAAAAGAACATGTTTCACAACTTATAAGACCAACATTTTATACCTTCAAACCACGCTTTCTTCAAAAACACTTCCAGGTATGTTTTATTCCATCAGTGGTCTCACAGCTAAGCAACTCATTGTTTAGCCAAATTCCTCACAAACTGGGAATGGTTTAAGGGTAGTGATAGCCACTCACCAGCATTGTGCAGGCCAGTGCCTGAGGGCTCTTGATACGTATTTTGCCAAACAGAGGAATGATTAGAAACAGGAAAGAGTGATCTGGCTCTGGTCTTTACTTGCTCTTTTTCTATCTGGGCATTGGCTAATGGATCTAGATAGAAAGTGATTTTATTATGAAAGTTCAACTCTTCATGTTCCTCTCTTCTTCCTTATTCTAAGTTTATTTAGATTTCCACTAGGAATAATCATTCTTCTTATTTTTTTAATGTCTTTTCTTATTCAGGCTTATTCTAAAAGAAAAACTCATAAAGATGTCATGGTTGATTTGCTCTCCAACCACTGTAGATTTTGTATTCTTTTAGCATTTCATACCAGTGGTGTCCCTCTGTGTACCCTGCATCCATGTAGTAGCTCTTCATCATTCTCCCTGTTTACAATCATGCCTGGTTCTCTAACTGGGGCTATTTCCCTTCACTCTGTTACCTGAGGGATTTTTTCCACCTAAACACAAATATGCTTATGTCCATGTGCTTAAAATCCTTAAGGGTGGCCTATTGACCATCATAATAGTCCACGTGTGTTATTAGCAGCTCTGTGCACCAAGTCCATCACTGCAGGACAGCAAACACATGGTGCCTGTGAACAGGGACTTGAAAGAAAATAGAAAGTACGACAGAAACCCCACAGAAAGAGGGGCTAATGTTTACTCTGACAAAGGTTTGAACCTGACATTTTTCACATCTAAACTCTACAGATATGCTAGCTTGGGAGAAATTATAATTATGTTTTTATAATTTAGACTTCAACAAAGAGAAACCTACAAGCAGTACTTCAGACACCTGATGACTTCTACCTTCTGCCGAGGACCTCTAGATCGATCCCTTGGAGCATGCCCAGCTACTGTTGTCCTTCTTTCTGCCCCTTTTCAGCATGAAGCAGCCTGATGAGACCTGTCAGCCCCTATCCTGACAGCAGCTAGAGTCCATTCTCCTAGGGGGATGTGAGGAGTCAGATGGGATAATAGGCAGTTAGGGTCTCTGGTCCCTGGTGAAGTTATCTTTACATAATATAAAAAATTGCTTCTCCCTGTTTGCTGCTGTTCCAAGAACATGTTCTCCCTAGCAACATTCCTCAAGCCTAATTTACAACATAGAGAAGAGGGATTTGTAGGACAATTGATTGGATATCATTTGTATGAAACCAACTGATTGGATATTATTTGAGTGTGAACAATGGATTCTGTATACAAAGCAAAAGAGATCCTTTCAGACAGAGAGATCTATAGACAGGTTTATGGGAACTATGTAAGCTCCTCAGTACCTCCTCCCTTATGCTATGTGACTCTCTGTCTATAAAAGCCTGAAGCCACTAATAAACTTCACCTATTGATCATCAAAAAAAAATCTTTAAGAGTGCCTTATCACTTGTGAGTTAAGCTCATCTCCTTGACTTTAGAGAGGGGTCTTTGGCAATCTGGCCCTACACTCCCAGTAGCCTCATTCATGTATATTTCTGTGCCAGACAAAGGGCCTACTGACAGATCCCTTGACATGAACACATTGATCCTTCCTTCCATGTATTCAAATGCCTTGTTCTTTACTCTTATCTTTGTTGGTCACATTTCCTTAACTAGGTAATTTTTAACTTCTTCTAAGATTCATTGTAATTATTCTGAGCTCCCAGGGGTTTTGGATGGCCCATTGCCTATGCTCCGAAGGGCTGTGTGCTCCTCTAGCATTCCCATCATCTAGCTCAGTATATGGTGACTCTTCCTGATTCTCTCTTCTTCCCCTCAAATGCAAGAGCAACACCTTGTTCGTTGTATTTTTGGAACCTAGTACGATGGAAAGAATGGTAGTTTGTCAAGTGGATGCCTTTCAAGATTCTATTAACTATTGCACATCAGGATATAGGATGTTGTATGAAAGGTAACTACTCCTAACTAACTAACCCACTAACTAGCTCTTTCAGATAGCACAGAGTCCTAAATCCTCTTTCATTCACCATTTTCTTTCTGCTAAAGCAACTGGGCTATTAATCTATGACTCAGCAAACACACGGATTAATTATATTTAAATCAAATATATATCTGACACTAAAATTCTAATTGAATCAATCCCAACTATACAGCTCAAATTGATTTTCATATTCATAAAATGACTTCATGCATCAACAGGAAGAAAAGAATTTGTGGTAGCTAAAAATTTGTGGTAGGCTTTGCGGTTGTTTCTTGGGCCACTATTTACCAATGTTGGAACCTTGGCCAAGTTCTTTAACCTCTTTATGCCTTGACTCTTCTCATCTGAAAAATGCAGGCAGTAACATACAAGATCTGTGGGGTTAGAATATCAAGTGTTTAAAGCAGTGCTTATGATGTAGTAAAGATATGCTAACTCCTCTTCCATTATTTCAGAACTCTGAAGCAGCAAAACTTAACAATATGATCTTTTACAAAATGGGAAAATATAAGACAGAAAAATACAGCTGGGTACTTGTTTACCTTTCATGAAGTATGGTCGAACTACTTTCCAAAGAGCTGGATTATTATTAAATATGAGACCATTCTCATGCATACCAATGCACTGTAACCCAGGTTTGCTGCCGAATCGAGAGACATAATGACTATGCTTCATCACATGGAACATGCTTGAGGACCTGAACAGAAAACAAACCTTGGTCTTAATTCACCAGGAGTTCTACATTTGGAACTCGAAGTAGTTCTTTTAACAAATACGTGTTGATCTAAACATAATCCCTGATTTTTGGTAATCAGGTTGAAAAAGTACTTCCATCATGAGAACATCCTCTAATTGAATCATTTTTGCCTACTGACTCCTTTTTTTGAGCATCACAAAAGCTGGAAAACACACACTCACACACATGCATCTTAGTTCTTATTTCCCTTTCTCCTCTAATCTCAAGTTTCCAAAAAAATATAGCTACTTGTAAGGGCTGCAATGCTGTTTACAAGCTGAGTGCTTCATACCATAGAAGTCCTGAGAGCATCCAGCTTCCAAGGTCCCATCCAGTCCTACTCCCGATGGCCCCACTGGCTGCAAGGGTAAGCCAAGAACAGAGTTACTAGAATGGCCAGGATCTGGCTTTGCAGTCTGGAAGCAACAGTCTTCCTGGTGCTACCCATTCCCTGGAGTGTGTCATCAAGCCTCGCCCTTCTCAGTGGGGTCATTCTGGGCTTGAAGGATGTCTTCTTGAGCACTTATTTCAGGGCTGCCCAGGAAGATTCATGTTGGTGATTACAGAAGCTACCACAAGGCCCTTTTTCTGCATTCTGTCATGATTCATCAAGATCTTCAAGGTCACAGAATTCTCCCATGACATACAATGTGGTGAACCACTAGAGAGTGTAATTTGAAATGTACCAAATAGTGCAAACTCAAGATTTGTGAATAGTAATTGACATTATAAGTTAAGGGTTCCTAATCTGGAATTTGGGGGAGTAGAAATATTCTAAATTTCATATTTGTTTTATTTTTGTTTGGAATATTTATACATATGTACTGAGATTTCTGGAGGTGATAACCAACTCTAAACACAAAATCCAATTATTTCATGTATACCTTATACATGATAGTCTGAAGGGAATTTTATAGCATATTTAAAAAAATTATTTATTTATTGGAAAGTCAGATATACAAAGAGGAGGAGAGACAGAGAGGAAGATCTTCCCTCTGATGATTCACTCCCCAAGTGAGCGCAACGGCTGATGCTATGCCAATCCAAAGCCAGGATCCAGGAACTTCCTCCAGGCATCCCACACAGGTGCAGGGTCCCAAAGCTTTGGGCCGTCCTCGACTGCTTTCCCAGGCCACAAGCAGGGAGTTGGATGGGAAGTGGAGCTGCTGGGATTAGAACCGGCGACACACATATGGGATCCCGGGCAGGTTCAAGGTGAGGACTTAAACCGCTGCTAGGCCACGCCGCCGTGCCCTATAGTGTATTTTTAATAGTTTTATGTATGAGACAAAAGTTTCATGGTTGGGAGTTTTCCACTTGTGATGTCATGCTGGTAATCTAATACTTTCAAATTTTTAAAAATTTTGACTTTCAGAATTTCATATTAAAGTTGTAAAAACGTTCCTTTTCTTGGTTATAACTTTATTTTTGGTGAGTCTAGTAATTACCTAAGTTTCCAAGTACCTACAAGTACCTCCCTCCTTATGTGTTCCTGAAATTTTGTTTCTCTTCCTGTGGAGGTTTTCAGGTCATGTGGATACTGTGCCATACCCAACTGGTTCTCAAACTCGCTTGGAGAAACTCTCTTAAAACTTGATCCTTCCTCTCAAGTTTTGTATTTAGTTCTTCAAAGGCTGATTTTGCTTTAGTGACATTCTGTTAATGACTGCTAAAATACAAGACATTAGGCCAAGATGGCTCTGTTCAGAATTATCATTATGTGAAAATCTTATTTACTTGGTATTTATTTTAGAAAAAACATCCTCCTGCTTTCCAATCATAAATATGCTCTTGATTTGATTTCAGATAATGTTTGTAAGATGATATCAAGTTTGAGCCAAGGTATCCTCTTCCTAGCACCAAAAGTAAAACAAAAAATCCAGATGCTTCAATTTACCCTTCATGGACTGATAGCTCAAATTTTGTCCTGTTTGGAAAAATCATGCTACAGAAAGGGCTGAAGTTTTTATTTATTAAAATATTTGAAAACTAGCTTCCAATCTCCCCCTACTTCATTATATAGTTAAAGCAGAAACTAAGTACATTTTGCCTGTTTTTTTTTTTTAACAAATTTGTGTCTACAATTTGTTAAGTCTTAAATATTAGCAGATAAGCAGAACACTGTAATTCTGTTCAGACCCCTAGGGCATTTGTACACTGAAATAATATTAGTATACCCCTTTCTTTTAAAGTAGTGTAAATCAGTTGAAAAGCGAGACAAAGCTCCCAACTTAGAACTGTAAATGTTGTGGAGCTAACTTTTAAACTCCATGTGTCCTTTAGGGGGCACCAACATCTCAGCTTTCCCAAACCTGGGAAGTAAAAGGCTCAGTTTCACAAGAGACAAAGCCCAAAAAGCAAAGCAATAGAGCAAAAGTGTACATCACAGAACAGCAACGTAAGACAAACGTGTTTATCAAGTTGGGAATTGTAGAGATTATCTAGCCAGAGTAAATTGCAGAAAGTCAACAAGGGAAAGGTGAGGAGCTAGAGATCCAGTGAGGATTCCTCCCACCAGTCAAAGGCCAGCGGAGGGAGACGTCATGCTCATAGGGAAAATGATGATTTCTCCACACTTAGAAGACACCAACCGAGTCTCCAAGCTCAGAAGGGAGAGTGAGCGTTGTAAGGGGCCTGGTAACTGGAGTTATTATTCTTCCTTAAGCCTGACTCTAGACAAAAGACATCTCAAAAGACAGCAAACCCATTGTCTGCTCCAAATGAGAAGTAACCAGGGAGTAAGCTCATTGGCACTAAAGAGAAAGCCATTTAAGTCTGAGGTGTCACAGTTCATAACCTGCTGCCAGGTTCAATATAGAGGAGCACTGGAAATAAAAAGGAAGCCACAATGGAAGAATTGGTATCAAACATTTTGAAAAAACAGTTGCCTTGCATATATTTATTATGAACCCAAGACTTATATTCCATTAACCTATCACTTTTCCACTGTTCCTTGCTCCTCTAATATCCTCACACATACAGCTTATGTGCTGTGGTCATTGCCAATCTAATGGTAAAAGTCTTTGCATCCTGTTTTTTAAGAGAATGGAAATGACTAGAAGAAAATATCCGTAAGTTCAAACTACCATCTATCCAATCCTCCCTCCAGATATTATAGATGAAATTCTTTATTCCTTTTCAAGCATAAGCCTTCTCTGGTTCCTAGGACCCTTCACTTCTCCACCTAGCATACTCTTCTTTCTCCTACATCAACAGCTTTCTGCCTAACAGACCATTCTCACCATGATTCATATGTTTCAATTTATTCTTTCTGAAAAACCAACATTCCTTTGACTACACATTCCTCTCCAGCTACTGTACCGTCTCCTACTTCCTTTGGTTGCCCACACTCACTGTTTCTGATCCTCCCCTCCATACTGCAATTCCCTACTCTAGTCAGAGTCCCACCCCCACCATTCCATTGAAACAGCTCATATTGAAGTCACCCAAGAAATCTCTCTCTCTCTCTCTCTCTCTCTCTCTCTCTCTCTCTCTCTCACTCTCAATGCAATACTCACTTCTCCATCCAGTTCCCTGGCACATCTGTACTATTTGACATGCTTGGCAGTTTCCTCCTCTCAGGGATGTATTCTTCACCTGGCTACTAACCAGCCATATTCCTCTGGTTTTCGCTTGTCTGTCTACTTGTTGCTTCATTCTAATCACTTTACACTGGTGGATCTCAAGCATCATTCCTCCCCACTGAACATCCCACTGAGATCTCTACTGAACATGCCAAGTCCCACATGACTGAAGTTAGACATGATGTTAATTCTGAACTCTCCCTAACCCAAATTGGACAATTTTTGCCTCAAAGTATCTGAAGAGGGAGAACATGGTTGCCTGAGATAGGTGGAGTAAATTTGGGATACAGTGGTACTGTATTTTGGAAATACGAGTCAGCGAAAAAATCCTGCCTTTGTAGAGTAATATACTGTTCATGTGTTAGTAATGAAAAAATGAAACAGATGATATAGGAGCAGGGTAACCAACTATCTGAGTCTTATCTCTGAGACTGAGAGTTTCCTTGGTGTAGGACTTTCAGTGCTAAAACTAAGACAGTCTCAGGTAAATCAGGATGATTAGTCACACTATTTTCAGGAGGTTTGTGCTAAATTAAAAGAAATGAGAAGGAAACGGTAGGTGAGGACCAGTTGTATGAATGGGGATGCAATTATGAATAGTTTAAGATGGGCCTCATTTAGAAGAGAGCATTTGAATAAAAATCTAAAGAAACTGGCGATGTGAGCCGGGCAGAGATCTAGAGAGAAAGCAGTCCCCTGAGACAAGAACCTGTCAGAAATGTTCAGGGGACAACAAGGATACCAGAGTAGATGAGCGGAAGAATATTGGAGATGATAAATTGATTTAAAAAAAAATAGCAATAATTTTTAAATGGGTACAACATAGTGGCATAACAAGTTAATCTTCTACCTGCAAGCACCAGAATCCTCTATGGGTGCCAGTTGGAGTCCCAGCTTCTCCACTTTTTTCTTTTATTTTTAAAGATTTATTATTATTATTATTATTATTTTTTGGAAAGTCAGATATACAGAGAAGAGAAGAGACAGAGAGGAAGAGCTTCTGTCTGATGATTCACTCCCCAAGCGGTCGCAATAGCCAGAGCTGAGATTATGTGAATCCAGGAACCAGGAGCTTCTTTCAGTTCTCTCACGTAGGTGCAGGGTCCCAAGGCTCTGGGTCATCCTTGACTGCTTTCCCAGGCCACAAGCAGGGAGCTGGTTGGGAAATGGGGCTGCTAGGACATGAACTGGTGTCCATATGGGATCCCAGTGCATGTGAGGCAAGGACTTTAGCTGTTAGGCTACCGCATTGGCCTGGGCCCTCCACTTTCAATCTAGTTCTTTGCATATGGTCTGGGGAAAGCCATTAGGATGGCCCAAGGCCTTGGACACTGGCAGTCATGTGGGAGACCAGGAAGAAGCTCCCAACTCCCAGCTTCAGATCCACTTTGCTCAGGCTATTATGGCCATTTGGGGAGTGAACCTACAGATGAAGATCTCTTTCTGTTAAAAAAAAATCTGCCTTTCCAATAAAGATAAATCTTTATGAAAGAAAAAAAAAGGAAGAAGAACATTGGAAATGAAAGATAAGGGATCCTAGGATACCTATCTTACATCAGGACTTAGAGCCCATTGTAACAAGTCTGTATGTGACTCTGCATGAAATGGGAAGCCACTGAACAGTTTGAGCAATATAGCCAACTCATTCATAATTCAGAAGAATCATTTCAGCTGCTCTATTGAGGATAAGTGAAAAGGGCAGAAGGGTCGGGAACAGAAAGAGCACCTAAGCAAGAGATGAAGGTAGTTGGCTCAGGTGAGAACAGCATAGGCGATAAGATGAAGAGATGGTATCTTGGGTATTTTTGATGGACAAGTTGATACAACTTCTGACAGTTTGGATGTTGTATGTGAGAGAAAGAAAGCTTCCAGTAAACATTAGTTTAATGAATGAAAGGAGAGTGAGTAACGACTATTATAACTTAACACTTATCTGAAGCTTAATATATAAATGTATGCTGAAACAGTAACTGAATGAATCCTTTATAAGTTTATACATGATTAAGGTATGTAAATAGAGACCTAATTAGCATGTTAATTGGTGACTCTCCTTTTCCGATGCTTCTTGCTGTTTTTCATATTTATGGCAAAGCTAACACACAGATAAAGAACATGCAGGTAGTGTACGGCAGAACATCTGAAGACTCATCAATTTAGAGTGTGGCTACTTGTAGGAACTGTGTATTTTATCAACAGGTAACCAGCAGGAACTTCCCCACCAGCTCCTAGGTTGTTCAGGCAGCATTGCCGTGGCACTAGTGCCTGCCTTCCTCCCCCGAGGAAGTAAGGCAGTGCCTACCGCTCTGGAACTAAGCTTGTTGGAAAATGTGGACTATAACCCTACACAGTTACAATTAAAGGCCTCAAACTTAAAAAAAAAATCTGGCAAACTCTTCAAATAAAAATAAAAAGCTTCCCGAGGGTCAACAGGGTCTTTTCAAGAGGTACAGGTAGTTCTGGAAGGGATTTGAAGAGCAGACAAGGCAAGGAGATAGGGACAAACATGTCCTATTCCGGCGGGGAGCCCAGCCCTTAACAACAAAATTGAGTGCCTCTGAGGCAATTAAGGAGAACACAAAGACTCCAACAAGTGAAAAACCTGAGAGGGCAGGACAAGAAAAGAACTGGAAGAGCTGGGTGAAGGGCGAGACGTGTGCACATCTGTGTGTGTATCAGTGCCTGATGGCGCTTTCCTAATTAAGATGAGTGAAGTGATCAGATGCCACTCTGTCACTGGCATCCAGGGAGTTTATCTGGTGACCTCAGTATCTAATACCTAATTGTGTAGTATCGAAGAGGGAGTTCTCTGCTGGTACTCTGATTCTTGCTCAAATCCATTGTTCTTCACTTTAATTTTAGTTGTGCCACCATCGCCTTAGCTAAAAATCAAGGGCAGTGCAGTAAGACAAAACCACTCCAACTCTGCACAGCTGTTTTTCCTTAACCCTAAGGAAACATCTTCCTGCCTCAGACATTCCTTATCCCTCCTGTCTCTCCAAAAGGGAGGTTCTCCAACTCTTGTAGGGCACTACTACCCAGATTGATTGCTATCTAGCCAAGTGGGAATCATTGGTGTAGTTCTGGGGTGCAAGTGGGTATCTTTGAAGCTAACTATGCTGAGGATCATTTCACCTGTCTGCTGTAAGAAGCAGGTGATAAAGACAGTAAGACAGCCTGCTGTGCTGGGGAATAAAAAAGCAAACACAAATAACATCTGTTCTAAGATATTTTTGAGGACATAGTTTTAAAAAATGATAAAATTCTGATTTCTTAAAGTGAGAACAGATGTGTCAAGAATGTATCCAAATTTGCTTAAATTTGACTGACCAGAGCACTTCAGACCAGGAAAAGTAAGACCAAAGTGTTATTACAATTGTCAGATCAGTGATTCGCACCCTAACGAGAGGATCAGCATTGCCTATACAGCATGTTAAAAGCACAGGCTATGGAGCCTTGCCCCAAACTTGCTTAGTAGGTCAAGGCAGAGCCCAGGAAAATGCATTGCTTGTGAGTGTCCCAGTCTGGTGCTTGTTGCTGATGCAGAGCACTGCTGCATTCACATGTTCCACATGACTTACTGAAAAGACATTTCTGTCTGCACACCTTATGCTTAGTTGCATAAACATGTTGTCCTTAGTCTTAAAAATACCACAACACCAAACTGAACAAAATGAGAACACCAAGCAAAAAACTGAGGTATTGGATGGATCCAGAATAACATTGCTGGATAGTTTCAAATATTTGAAAGCATTACATGATCTTCTCCCCTGCTTCATTTTTTTTCCATATTAGCTTCAAAGAATTGAGCCTTGAGGATACCATAGTGTTGTATGACATGATGCATAAAATCTTGGCCCGAAAAAAAGTCATTTCCAGAAATGCTCCAATGACATATTTGTATATACATGTATCTGAATGGATACAAATCAGTAAAACACCTTGATTGGTTTTGTTTGTGGGTAGAGTTCTGTCTGAAACTACAAATATCAAAACCCATTAATAAGACAAACTCTGCAGGCATTCTACTAAAGTCTCATGAAGATAGCTGGTGAAGTATGCCTTCTTTGAAGTGTTCCAGCTTCTGAAATCAATACTCAATGGACAAATCAGCTAATATTTTGTAAGGCAACTTCTTGATAGTTGATACAAATTTGGGTACCCCTAAAGTTATCCAGAAATTATGGCTATACAGGAAAGAAGGATCTCACTTTCCCCTCCAGTTTTTTTAAAGTGAGCCAGGACACTGGTTTACAGTCATAAACAGGATGACAGTATCAGCTGGCTTCTCTTTTGAAGGTGCTCTGTGGCTAATATTAGTAATAAATTGGGAGCCACAGAACTTTGTCACAAGTTTTAGATCTCTGTCTCTCTCTCTCTCTCAGTGTGTATGTGTGTATTTAATGCTTACTTTATAGAGTTGAGACCAAAATTTTGGGAAGGCAGGAAAGATACCACTCCACACGTAAAGCATGTTTTGTCATAACCACGCTATCTAGGTGCTAAGTTTCACATTTATTACTTGGAAAAAATGTTGACTGATTTCTCAACTTTCCAGAGTTCTTGATCCATGTGTCACTGACCTCAATTCAAGCAAAACTTAACTATTTTGTTTGTTTGCTATGTTTTATTTATTTTTTTTACCTGGGTTCTGTTTACCTTCATTTTGGGAGTAAAAAACATTGCCTTAGAAACTGTTGAAACAAATTGGGAGAAAAAAGAGCAGACCCCAAGCCATTACTTTAAAAGCATGTCTTCAATGATTATAGACTCACTTGCTTATAATGAGTGTTTCCTCGCCACATATCCAGACTCTCATGAATTCTCCATACATCTTGTTGTAATAGTTGCAGGCACTGCCAATTCCCATCCATAAGAATCGGGCATAGGAAATAAGGGGTCCAATTCCCAAACAATAGCCAGGACCTAGAAAAAGCCATCACATCGCAGTCAGCATCTTAGCCACATCAGAAATAACTACTCTAAGATATCAGGGATTTTGTTCTTTTCTAAATGCTCTTTGCAAATTCTCATGTATACATATGGATCACTAAATGCAGTGCTTTACCTCCAAACAAAATAGAGCTTAATGCAAAACTCTTTACTCCTCCATGAGTGAAAAGTAGTGAGTGTGCACATCACCTAGTTCTACTTAGTCTGTCACTTTAATCTAAATGAATTTTAGTACATGTGTTGATCTCCTCCTATCTTAAAAGGTGTCAATGAGTTTCAAATACATGTCAGTTGGTCTATCCAACAACAAGCGTGGAAACTGTGAGAGGATAGATCTGTTTGCCTGCCTGATTTTGTCTGAAAATTCTTGCTTGAATGGTAGCTAAAAGAGAAAAGTCTGCAAAGATAGTGTCCCATTTATGATTATTCATTTCATTGTTTCCCTTTAAAAGAACTCAGCTTAAGCACAATCTTGAGCTAAATTTCACTAGCAAAGTTGAGCAATTTGAGTTAACATGTATCTATGCTTACATAGATGAGGGCAGAATTGTAACAAGCAAACTCAGAGAACAATGGGGGGAATTTGATGTTGCTTATAGTCAGAAAACCAGTAGCTTGATTTTACTTATGATAAACCATAGGTAAATTGTTTGTTTTATTAATTCTAATGGTTTAAGAAACCGTGTTGTAAAGTTGTAGTTTTTCTTAGTCTTTTTTCCTTTAATTCCATTCTGTCAGTGAGATGGTTACCAAGTCTAAACACAACAGACTGTATGAGCCAACACACTCCCACTATGGACAAAAGCTAGGAAGTCTAAGCTTTTACTCAGGTCATCTAAATGAGATGTTTAATCCCAAAGTGAGCAATATTGTTTTTTACTTCATAAAACTAAGCTGATATGATCAAGACTATTGACTGTATTTTTTTTTAATTAGAGCAGATCTTTGTCAATATCTTTAGAGCCAAAGTATTATCAAAGAGCTATTCATCTTATGATTATTTTAGTAACACTATTTTATATTTTAGATAACAGGTTATACTTTAAAACAATTCACAGAAGTTTTTAAAAAGATTTGAACAGGCAGATATGGTTATGAATGTATTTCCTTAAAATGTCACCAGATACTCCAACCTTTAATCAACTGAAATATGCATAATAACAAACTATCTTACAGGGTATTTATAGGTTGGCACATTATAAATGCTCAAATAGTTTCTTGAATGAATTTCAAGAAGTTTATATGCATATAATATCGAGGGTGAAGTTTAAAATGCTATTCTTAGAGTATTTTAGGCTTTATTTGCATTTCAATACAAAGCAGAAAAAATATTGTATGCTATATATTTAATCTACACGCGATCAAACATCTGATTATATTTGAGAATAGACTTAATTCAATGAACGCTCACTTATTCAATATGCTAAGCCAGTGAAAAACAAAAATGTACAAGTGAAAGAATGTAGATTTGATCTTTCACCTAAAAGTTTAGTGCTATGTAGAAATCTTAATATTTGGTAAACAACTTAAATTTATGATATAACAGTGGAAAACGCTAACTAAAACAGGAAGAACACAGTGAACCCAGTGCTTAGGTGGAGAAACTGAGTACTAACTGGAAGAGAACCAGAGCTGTGGGTCCTTAGAGCAACTGAATATCAACTTAGCTTACACAACCAATGCTTACTGAGAAACTAGTGCCCAGTTAGGTATAGCAATATTTTAAGAATGATGATCCCCACTAGAGTCCCAGTACAGGAGAGAGAGAGGGTGGGAAAAATAAGTACACAAGCAAAGTGGAAAAATAATTACATAACAAAATACGCAACGTGATATGATCCTTTCACTTGCATCACATCATAGACCCTCTGGATGGAGAGAAGAATGCTTCAAAAGGGGAGAAATGTTGGTAGGATATTAGGGAAATGTTTGGATTGCATCCTAATTAAGCTGCTCCTGCTTCTTAGATTTGGAAATGCCTATTATCTAGGCATGCCTTGATTATGGGTGCCTCTATCACACCCTTGGAGGGGCAATGAATACTTCATTTTTTAAAATACTTCAGTGCATTTTTAAAAAATACTTTTTATTGGAAAGTCAGATATACAGAGAAGAAGACAGAGAGGAAGACCTCCCATCCAATGGTTCACTCCCCAAGTGGCCACAACAGCTGCAGTTGAGCCAATCCGAGCCAGGAACCAGGAGCCTCTTCTAGGTCTCCCACACGGGTGCAAGGTCCCAAGGCTCTGGGCTGTCCTCAACTGCTTTCTCAGGCCACAAGCAGGGAGCTGGATGGGAAGCGGGGCTGCTGGTATTAGAACCGGCACCCATATGGGATCCTGGCGCATTCAAGGCAAGGACTTTAGCCACTATGCTATTGTGTCGGGCTCTTCAGTGCATTTTTATTCAAAAGCAGCCTTCCTGAAGCCAACATCTGGGACTTCTCAAACTATTGCATTCCCCACTGAGGAATACACTCTAAAGAAACCCATGGACAGCTGTTGTTCACAGGTGCACCCAACTTGAGACACCCTAAACACCCATCACGTGCAAAATTGGTAATTAAACCATCCATAGCATAAATGATTCTTACAAATTTTCTATCAAACAAAAAGAAGCAAGATAGAAGAATAAATAACAGATGATTCAATTGCTAACATGTTCAAAATCAAGCAAAATTAAACTATAATGGTCTCAGGGTGTGAAAGTAGGTGGCAAATCTCTAAAACAGCATGAGAGTTATTGGCATAAAACAGGAAAGTTGACTTCCATGGGTGAAGGATGCCAGACTGGGGGATTGTGAAGCTGCTACAGCCCTGATTCTTGGGCTGGATGGCAATACAAGATTTATCACTGCATTGTGCACTTATCCACGAGATATATTCTTACTGGGAAGAAGAGGAATGTGTTTCCCTGTTTTTCTCCCAGTGCTCTGCTTTAGAGAGAGAGGACCAAGGTTGGGATAGCTCTGTCCTTGGGGAGGGGAGAGCTGCCAGGTGCCAGGTAATAGTAAGTTCTGGACAGAGATCAGTCGAATTGAAACAGTTTCTCAGAACTGAAGTTATAACTCGTCCTCCTCCTCCTCCCACCCCTCCAATGACTCTTTCCTCCCCCAAACTCCTGCAGCCCCTTCCTGGCACTAAGCCATCTGCCAATGTCTGCCTCTGCTTCTTTGTTTGATCCATGTTATTCCCACCAGGACAGAAACCACATCTCATTTCTCTTCACAACCATCTCTCCCCTAGAACCTGATGTGGTAGAACTTCTCGTGAAGCAGGGATGAAGACGTTTAGTTTTGAGTCCTAATTTTTTTTTTCTACAAAATAGAGATAAGTACACCAGTCTCACCAGAGGGAATGGACAAGAAGTTGTTTTGCAAATACCTTCTTAACTCCCTTTGGCTTTCACTAACCCTAAGCCTTCCCCTAACTTGCAGAATCAAGGACCCCAAGAGCCAAGCATTGGAGGAAGTGGCAGAGTTCAGGCATGTTGGGCAACCAAAACACCAGATCAGGGTCAATTTTCTCATTTTCCTGCTGGAATCACAAGAGCTCACAGCCTGTGCCACTGGAGAAGACTGGGGACAGCATAACATTAGCAACTAATTTAGCTAACTCTGGTTAGCAAAATTGAAGACTTCTGACTTGTCTGTTTGCACTCCTCCCAGTCAGGGAGCTGAGGAACCATTTCCTTTCACTGAGATTAAATCCCCTACGTATAAATGAGGAGTTTGAACTCCACCATTTCTCAGGCTTGTTGTAACATTGACTCAGCACAGCAGATTACATTTTTGAGCCTCAGTCTCCCTTTCTATTAAGTGGAAAGGTTGAGCCCCTGTCTTTGGCTCTCAACCTTGGCTGCTCATGAAAAATCACCTGAGGATCACACACACACACACACACACACACACCCTGTGGCCCTCCCTGAGACGGGGCTGAGGATCATGCTATCATGGATGTAACTCCTGGTATATGGCAGCACCATGTCCCCGATCCAGAAGTGGTGCAGAGTTGAATGTTACCCAGGCTCCTGACCAAATACTTCAGGGATACCAATTACCATGCTTTATCCAGCCTTATCCAAGGGGCCAAGGGAATTCCACAACTGCTTTCAGCATAAGCATCCAGGCTGGAAGAGGGGAGAGTGTGTGTTTTTCTTTCTTCTTTCCTTCCTTTTTGTTTTAAAGATTTATTTATTTATTTATTTTTACTGGAAAATCAGATTTACACAGAGGAGGAGAGACAAAGAGGAAGATCTCCTGTCTGCTGATTCACTCCCCAAGTGGCCACAATGGCCAAAACTGAGCTGATCAGAAGCCAGGAGCTTCTTCTAGATCTCCCACGCAGGTGCAGGGTCTCAAGGCTTTGGGTTGTTCTTGACTGCTTTCCCAGGCCACAGGCAGGGAGCTGGATGGGAAGTGGAGAAACTGAGATACAAACCTGGTGTCTATATGGGATCCCAGCATATCCCAGGCGAGGACTTTAGCCACTAGGCTACCATGCTAGGCCCATGCTTTGCTTGCTTGCTTTCTTTCATTCTTTCTTTCATTCTTTCTTTCTTTCTTTCTTTCTTTTTTCTTTCTTTCGTAAATGCATGTTTCTAGGCCTGTAGCATCTGATCTTAAATGTCTGGGACAGGTCCCAGGAATCTGGAACCTTATCAAGCTCCCACTTCCTGGATGATTCTTACGTATGTGAAAGGTTTGAGAACCTGCAACTTACTGGATGGGCAATGACGAATTCTCTCCTGAGACTGATCACATGGATGTGTTGGACTATAACACCTGAAAGGAAGAGGAGGGAGAGTATTCCATTCTCCCTCCTGCCTAATCATCACATCCTTATCAGACATTGACCCTGACCAAGGAGGGAAAGAAACTCAGCGAGGAAGGGGCAGCTCTGGAGGAAGAGAGTTCAAATTAACCATGAGTCTTCCCTCAGCTCTGAGCCCGCCTCCCCTGAAGATAACCCCATCAGAGAGCAGGGAACAAAATTAACTAAATGTTCCATTAAATTGGACATTAAAGCAGTCTAAAATATCAAGCTGAACCAGAGAGGCAGGCAATTACCTGGAAAATTTTGAAGATCCAGACACAGAGCATTCTGTCCCTGCCCCATGTTCCCATTCTCAATCACACTGTGATGAGATTCAGCACACTTGAAAGTGTGTAATTAGCATGCTCTTGAAAGGCAGGCTTACTGTATACCTTACAGAATTGGAAGTGGATGCTCATGGGAGGAGCTTTCACTGAAAACTAAAGAGTCTGAGATGTCTGATAATTCTGAGTTGTCTAATATTTATCAAATATCATTCAGTAGTAATAGAATAATAGCATTTTTAAAGTTAGAATTATCTGTATAACAATGTTATACCTTACTTTTTATTGGTCCACAGACCTTGTTGGAGATTCTATCAGGGGTCTTTTTCCAAAGGAATCACAGTGGTCTTCATTCTTCTCCCACTGCCCATCATCACTCCCTCACCCATGAAAGAAAAGGCAGAGTAGGATGAAGAGAAAAGACATATGTAAGAAAGGGTGTGGATGAAACAAAGTGGGAAGGAGAGAAGGAGACATTCCAGAGACATTTTTTACCTGCAGAGCAAAATTGGAATGAACTTGAATCTGCTTTTTAAAAAGTCAACCAAAATCCCTGGAATTTTGCCATGCTCTACCCCATATCAAGCTTGTTTTAAAGAGCACACATGGCAAGACTACTTTACCAAAGCAGATTACAACCTGAAAAGAATTATTTAAGATATTTAAAGAATTATTTCATTTAAATATGCAGGTAATGAGGGTAGACATGGTCGCCTGAAGTCCTTGTTTGCTAACATAACAGTGGTCTTTGATATCTTTCTGAGTGTACTGTTTGTCCTTTTGCATAATTTTCCTTGCCATCATAGAACAAGTGAGTAGTCTCCTCAGATTCAAACATAAATAACTGCCTTACCTGGTATTGAGGATGTGCCCTCATAATTCCATATCAAGAGGAGAAAGCAAGTGAGCAGCAGGATTGGCACAGTGGCAGCAGGCATGGCATCAGGCACCATGCTGGTGATGTTATAGTTATAGTGTATTGGGTTCAGCATTTCCAAAATCATCTTGACTCCGTTGGCCTCAGATGAAGCAAATTAAATCCCTGTGGAAATCAAAGGGGCATTAAAATTAGAGAATCTCCTCAAAGGTACATCTATGTCTTCTGTTGTCTCAGAGGATACTATACTATAGGGATTGCTGCTTTATTTTATAATGCAATTGGACAGTCAGACAAGACAAATTTGTGGTTACAAGTCAAAACAAGCAAGCCTACGAGAGATCTTTTGGCTTGAAGTGCAGCATTTCTGACCTTGGTAGAATCTCAGGTTCGTTTAGACACTTGTTCTGATAGAACCTTATCTTGCCCTTGAGTGGGTAGAGTGACGTGCATTCCCAATTGAGAGCCAAACTTCTAACCAAAATACAAGAAAATGAAGCTTGTTTCAGAGGTGGAATCATTTTGTGACTTCATTGGTAGGTTTTGTTTAGGCAATCTTCTTTCCTTGGAGCCAAATTGACTTTAAAAAAAAAAGTAACTTCCCAAACTCCTTTGCTTGTCCAAAATTCACAAAATTAGCTTCCCCCCAAAAGGTAAGTTTCTACAGCAAGAACCTATTTCCTGGGCATCGTTGATGTATTCCTGCAGCCTCCAATTAAGCTGTCTGTTGAATTCAAAGGGACTCGGTTAATTCAGTCTTTCTCTGTTGCTTTGATGAGGATCTGAAACCTCTTGTACCACAGGCTGGATGAAGCCGTGTCCACAGGGCTGGCACTGGATGTAATGGGGGATAAAAGAACAAAGGAGGAACAATAACGGGAGAGAAGAAAGAAGCAGTATGGGAGATGAGAAAGCAGGAGGGAACAGGCAGAACAGGATGCCACTGTCAATAGGCTCAGGTGCTCCTCAGCAGCCTCCTCCCCATAGCAGCCAACAGCCTGTGCAGGGCAACCAGTTCTCAGTTTGATTTGCTGGCTTTGCTTTTTTTTTTTTTTTTAATTTAAATTAAAGAAAAAATTTCCCCACAATACATTTTTGTAGGTATAGGGACTCATCCCTTCCCCACTTTTCCTCCCTCCCCTTTTTTTTTTCTTTGCTGACATTTCCCCATTTTATTGCAATAGTATAGTACATGTTACCAGTTTAACATTCTGACGTTTAAATGTACCATGACATGATATATACAAGCAAATGAAGAAAACCTAGTATTGTATTTTAGAAGCATATTCAAAAGTTTCATGGGAATCTCACTTTTATTTTGCATAGTACTTTTACTTCTCAAAATGCTAGTCTCCCTTGTACAGTTCATATGTGTGTATGTAATATGTAATATATAATATAGTTATATAAATTTGTATACATATATGTAGACAAATAGTATACAAATAGTACTTTGCATATTGTTTGTTCTAGAGAGAACATATGATATTTGTCCTTTCAGGACTGGCTTACTTTACTAAGCATAATGATTTCCAGCTGGGACCATTCTGCTCCAAATGGCAAGCTTTCATTCCTCCTTAAGGATGAGAAGTATTCTATTCAGTGGATGTACCACAGTTTCTTTCAACAGGCATCTGGGTTGTTTCTGTATCTTTGCTGTTGTGAATTGTGCTGCTATAAATGTAGAGTTGCAGTTCACTCTCTCAAATGCAGATCCCAATTCCTTGGATATATTCCCAGGAGTGGGATGGCTGGGTCATATTGCAGATCAATTTTCAGTTGCCTGAGCACTCTCTATACTGACTCCCATAGTGGCTGCACTAGCCTACACTCTCACTAGCAATGGAGTAGTTCCCCACATTCTTACCAGCAATTGTTGTTTGTTGATTTCTGTATGTAGGCCATTCTTGCTGGAGTTAGGTGGAACTTCATTGTAGTTTTAATTTGCATTTCCTTAATAGCTAGGGAATCTGAGCATTTTTCATATGGCTATTAGCCCTTTTGAGTTTCATCTGTTGAGAAAGCTCTGTTCATGTCCTTTGCCCATTTCTTAACATGGTTGTTTGTTTTGCTACTATTGTGTTTGTGAAACTCTTTATAGATCTTTGATATCAGTCTTCTGTCACATAGAGTGCAAAGATTCTCTCCCATTATGTTAATTGCCTCCTGATTTTATGGACTGTTTCCCTTGCTGTACAAAGCTTCTTAATTTGATGTAGCCCCTTTATTTATTTTGGCTGTGACTGCCTGTGCTTTTGGTATCTTTTCTAAGAAGTCTTTGCCTACACCTTACTTCTTACAGAGTGTTCTGTATGTTTTCCTCTAGCAGTGAGATGGTGTCTGGGTGTTGGTTTAGATCCTTGATCCATTTTAGAGCTGATTTTTTTTTTTTTATAAAGTGAAAGGTGGGATGTCTTGCTTCTTACTTCTGCAAGCTGATATCCGATTGTCCCAACATCATTTGTTAAAGCGACTGTGCTTTCTACTTGGATTTTTGTTGTTGTTATCTTGTCCAATATTAGTTGGCTGTAGGTGTTTGGGCTCATTTAAGAGCTTTCTATTCTGTTTCATTGATCTTCTTCCCTATCCTTATACCATTGTCAGGCTGTTTGGACTACTGCTACCCTTGTAGTACAGCTTAGTATTGTGATTCCTCCAAGTATGTTTTTATGGCTTGTTTTATTGTTTAAGATGGTTGGCTATTTGGAGTCTCTTGTATTTCCGTATGAATTTTTCATCATGATTTCTAGCTCTAAGAAGAATGTTATTTAACCATCTTTCCAGCCAGATTTTTAATACCGTTAATCTCGGATAGCATTTGGGGAATGGTAGTTTGCAGCTGATGAGGCCTGGGTTGGCCAAAGTTGTGCAGGAGATAAAAGTCATCATTGTACACATTCTCTGATGACAGGTAACAGGTTCTGAGGTTGGCCTGCTCTTAGAAAGTGACCAAAGTTGAGGGCTTATAGTGGCTCCAAAGCAGACTTTGGCTAGATTTTATCCTTTAAGTAATAAAAGTTTAGATTCACAGCCAGGACTTCTATCTGGATTTTATAGGCTATGTAAAATGTTACATAAAATGTACATTTTATTATGTGTGCTTTTGAAGGGAATGAGATCATAACTTTCACTAGATGCTTAAGGGATGTTTTCTGCCTACAATATGTGAGATCTTAAACATCTAAGCAAATACCAATTTCTGGAAAGTACAGAATTTCACAAATAAATGTTGTGAAATGTTACTTCATCATTTTGTTGATCCATTTCACTAATTACATAATCATTAACACTTAACTGCAGGCTACTGAAAATGCCCACACCCATGTTGGGCAATTTTACTGTTTTTTTGTTTTGTTTTGTTTTGGTTTTTTACTGTATGACAGGTCTTCAAAAAATTATTATGAAAAAAAGCATAGATTTCAAAAACTTTGGTACCAAAGTAAACTTCTTTTACACTTGATCTTAGTCAAAAGACTGAGAAGTGATAAACTTGTCTTTTAATTCCAGTCTCTACAAACTTTTTGAGGTGGCATGTATGTATATAAGTTGAAACTGAACATCAGAGTTCTCTGGGTTACAATCTGTTTTCATTATTAATAAGTAGCTACTTTGAACAAGTTGAGTTTTTCTGTTAGGTTTCTAATTTCCAGAGTGGCATTTAATGTCATTCTGAGTAGGTTTGGACAGCTAGGATCCTTATAGTTTCTATTTGCTGCTGCAAACTGAAACCAACTTAAAAACACATGAGGAAAGTTGTTATCACAAAACGGATGAAGATGTCCAAAAGAAGTAATGCCAGCAGAAAATATCACAGTACAGGAACTCAGAGACATTTTACAACATTGAAAGTGTTGAAAATGGATTCAAATTTATAAAGCAATACAACAATTCACTGAAGCATAAAGATGTTCCCTCAGTGTCCTAGATTATCCAAAGAGAAGCCAGAACAACTTCTTTGTAAACAGTTCAGATAACATGTTTTTTTTTTTATACGAAGCAAAAGCACTTTAGGATTTGGACTATTTGGGCCCAGTATGGTAGCCTAGCAGATAAAGTCATCACCTTGTCTGCACCCAGATCCCATATGAGCACCAGTTCTAATCCTGGCTGCCCCAGTTCCCATCCAGCTCCCTGGCTTGTGGCCTGGGAAAGCAATTGAGGACAGCCCAAAGTTTTGGGACCCTGTACCCACATGGGAGACTCAGAGGGGCCTCCTGACTCCTGGCTTTGGATCAGCTCAGCTGTGGCTGTTGTGGCCACTTGGGGAGTGAATTTATGGAAGGAAGATATTTCTATCTCTCCCCGTCTCTGTATGTCTGACTTTTCAATTAAATAAAAATTTTTTAAAAATTTGCACTATTTCTAATGCTTTAATTGTGCGTGAATGTATTGATTTACTATTAAATTTGAATTTTAAATTAAATTATTTTAAATTTCACTATCCTGTGCCTACACTTATGGAAAACAACTTTAAGTTTTAATTTTTTGGCAAAAATTTTAGAAGTCATAATCATAATTTTTTCTTTGCTTCTAAGATTGATTTGCAGTTTCAGCTTGCATAGTCATTTTTACTGTCCTGCATTACCATGCCAAGTGAGATCCTATATCTAAATTTTTTTTCTAAATATTTATTTTTATTATTTTTTATTGGAAAGGCAGATATACAGGGAGGAGAGACAGAGAGGAAGATCTTCCGTGCGATGATTCACTCCCCAAGTGACCACAATGACCGATACTATGCCGATCCGAAGCCAGGAGCCTCTTCTGGTTCTCCCATGCGGGTGCAGGGTCCCAAAGCTTTGGGCCGTCCTCGACTGCTTTCCCGGGCCACAGGCAGGGAGCTGGAAGGGAAGCGGGGCTGCCGGGGATAGAACCAGCACCCATATGGGATCCCGGGCGTGCAAGGCGAGGACCTTTAACCACTTGCGCCACCGCGCCGGGCCCTATCTAAATGTTTTTAGAAGAGTTTAAATTTTTTTATTTGGTAAGTAAAGTTTATTTGAAAAGAGATAGGGAAGAGACAGAGATCTTATTTCCTCTGGTTCACTCCCCAAATGTCCACAGCAGCCAGAGTTGGGCTGATCTGAAGCTGCGAACCATGAACTTCTTCCAGGTCTCATATCGGTGCAGGGGCTGTCCTCTATTGCTTTCCCAGG